TGTCCTTGCTTGCATTGTTTCCAATGAGAGGTCTGCTATTAGTCTGATGGGATATCCTTTGCAGGTAACTTGACGTTTCTTGCAATTTTTAGTATCTTGTCTTTGTCTATGATTTTGGTCAGTCTGTCTATAATGTGTCTTGGAGAAGATCTTATTGGGTTGATTATATATGGGGACCTTTGTATTTCTTGGGACTCGATCTTTGAGTGACTCTCTAGGTTTGGAAAGTTTTCTTGCAGGATGTCATGAAATAGATTATCAGTACCCTTATTAGTCTCTTCACCTTCTGGGATGACAATTATCCGGATGTTTGCACGTTTGATGGTATCGAGTATTTCTTGTATATTATTCTCAAATTTTTGGGTAATTTTCTCGGTCTCCGCAGTGGACTTTTCTAGGCCAGCAATTTTCTCTTCTACATCTGAGATTCTATTTTCTGTATGATTTAATATGCTTTTAATAATTTCAAAAGAGATTTTTACTTCCTGTATTATAGTCTTCATCTCTAACAGTTCCATTTGATTATTTTATAAAGTGTATAATTCCTCTTTTAGATCTTGCAAGAATTTCCTCACCTCCCAGAACTTACCAGCTCCTTTCTCCTTATTCTTCTACACTTCATTGTCTCTCTTCTCTTCCATCTCTGTTAGCTTTGCCATTATGAATGTTCTGAATTCTTTATCAGACATTTCCATGATTTCCATTGAACTGTCTGTGGATGAAGAGGAGTTATTCTTTTCCCTTGGAGGAGGGGTATTTTCTTGCTTTCCCATATTTCCTGTGGTCCTGCAGTGATTTCTAGTTATCTGATGGAAAGTGTGTTTCTTCCCAAACTTAAAGTTCAATCTGAGCATCCAGGAGCATGCAGAAAAGGAAGGAGAGAGAGAGAGACAACAGCAACAAAAACAACCAAGAAATGGAAAAAAAGAGAATTAAAAAATTCAAAAAAAACTTTAAAAATTATCTATTTTTTTAAAAAAGCAAAAATTAGAAAACCACACAGCGTGCAAGTGCACCACACAATATCACTAGTTCTCAGAAGCCATGAAGGTGTCTTCTGAGGCCTGCTCCCTTGCCTCTCCCTGAGTTGGGAGGAGAGGGGATTATTAACAAGATAAAGGGAGAGGAGGGGCTGAAAGCCCAGAAAATGCTTCACCTTAAAAATTTTTTAAAAGGAAAAATTACAGAAAAAAAAAAATGAGAAGACAGAGACAGAGGTAGAGAGAGGCAGAGGCAGAGGCAGAGAGAAGGCGTGAGAGAGCTCGTACCACTAGAGTTGTGGGCTAGAGGCTGAATTATCAGTAGAAAATTTTCATTTCTTTTTTCCCTGAAATCGCTAGTTCTCAGGAGCCATGAAGGTGTCTTCAACATTTCTTTTAAATTTCTAAGATACAGTTGGCCCACGCTTTCATAGGCAAATGTCCACTGCATGTTACAAAGTGCTAAGACTTTTTCAGGTTCATTTATGTTATTTTTTTTGCCTTTTCCAAAACAAATGCAATTGACAAAAAGCCCATAGAAGTACTGGTATGAAGAAGATGGGAATCTTAAGTTTGGGGAATAACTAAGTTTTCTGAAATATCAAAAAAGTTTATTAGTACATTAACAAGTCAATTTTCTAACAAACTGAGTAGGGCTCACAATGAATAGGACACCTAACATTGATGAAAACTGAACAGGATATTAAATAGTCATGAAGATGTCGAGAAGAAACTGGGTTAAAAGGCACAGCAAGAACTATCTACTGCTGGAAACTATATTCATTGATTATTTACACAAAACTTTTAGGAGAAAATAACACTGTTTTAAGTAGCATGACTGTAAACTTCATTTTTCTTATCCCCTTCTTACTGTAAAATGTCTTGTTTTAAGAAGGTTCCCTAAGTAATAGCACTATATTCCTGAACCAACTAGATGATCACAGTACATCCACAGGAAGTCAAATCAAAGAACTAGCAGTGCAGATTAAGTCTAGCAAAGCCTCCATTTGCTCAACTACAAAATGGGGATAATAGCAGTACTTAAGTCCATAGGATGGTTGTGAGAAGGGTTACTAAAAGGTAGACAGCATATATTATTATGTATATAAATTTTACAGGAGGTTTTCTATGCTTTTTCTTCATATACAATTAAGGAGCAATGAAAGATCAGATAAGAATGAAGACACAATTTGCGTGCTTCTTTTTTCTAAAATTTTGTCAGAAGGCATATGTGCTCACTGACAGACAATGAGAGTGTGAATGCACTCTTCATGGAGGATGGCTACGTGGCAATACTTTCTCCTCCATTTCTTCTTCCTCTGGGGTTTTGGGCACTCATACACATGCGGTTGACATGTTTCTCAAGCCCCCAGATCCAGAACTGAGATCAGTAGTCAGTCATGTAGGAACCACCATGCCACAGGCTGGCCCTATAATTTGTGTGTTCCTATTGCAGACAAAAAGCTCTATGGCAGTGGAAAAGAATTTAAGAAAACAGAGCAAAAGGGCAATGTACACGATGGAGAAGAAAAAAGGAATCAATGAAGATGCTAGGTAGAGCTTTGTGGGGAGGGAGGATTGGAAAGAAGAGAAACTAAATCCAATGGATTTCAAAGACAAGCAGTTTTTAGTACAGAAATGTAATTTTATTTTATTTATAGGTCAAAAACCAAAAATATGATAACTTTGAAAGTTTAAAGGAGCTGGGACCAGAAGTTAGAGTAATGGCTATGTTACTGGACTCCCATGTAGTCAATTGTGAGTCCTGGATCGGGTGGCTTAAACTCATGCTGGGCACGTGTGCATGCAGGCCCAGGATCCTAAGAGAATGGAGGAGAAGGGATTGCGGCCTGGCCATACCCCCGAGAGTGATTTCTCGCTTTCTGTCTCTCTCTGTCTTTCTGGCGAGCACACATGCCCTATAGCAAAAACCTCTTCAAAAAATAGAAAAAAAGAAAGTTAAAGGAATTATCATTGTTGTGGTTGCCATTAATATATAATATAATGTGGTATAATATTTTCCATAATATTCTTGGAATGTATTTTTAAGTAAGATTGTAATGTCTTTTTAAATTTGTAACCAAGAAGGCATTCTGAGTATACAGGGTTAGAGTAACTGATTTATAAACATACCTGAAAAGAGGTCTCTGAGATAAACAGACATAAGTTGAGAAAAGAGAGGATAAAACTATGGTATCTTGGGGACAGCAGGTGGGATACTGGCTAAGGTGCTATACTCCCATATGCCAACCACGGTTTGTGATCCAGGTCTTGAAAATCATGCTGGTACATGTGCACGTGTGTCCAAAAAATCTCAGGAAGAGAATGGAGGAGAAGGGATTGTAGCATCGCCATCCCTCACAGGGAGTGATTTCTCACTTTCCTTCTCATCGTCTGTCTCTGTCTCTCTCTGGTGAGCACACAAGCCCTGTGGCAAAAACCCTAAAAAAAAAGGTATCTTATTAATTCCACTGTAAATTCATCATGAACAAGGCTTGAATCAGGAGTTTATGCATATGTGTTTAAGTGTGTATGTGCAATCATGTCCAATATTTCTGTCAATGATAGACTGCATGTATGACAGTAGTCTCATACAGGCTATACTGTCAATATATAGTTTAGATGTGTAGTAGGCTATACCACCTGTTTGAAATTCACATAATGACAAAATCACCTAATGATACTCTCAGAATATATCCCTGGCATTAAGCAACACAGGAATGTACTACATACATGGGGACTTTTAAAATGTTTATGGAAAAATGGAATTAAAATATGATTTTATTTTGGTGCAAAAATATTTTTGAAATTCATGTATAGTTTTTTCCTAATACACATTTTACATAAACTTTCTGAAGATCCCATATATATAGTATCTTTTAAAAAAACTATTTAATTTTATCCATTCATTCATGTATTTTAAGTTGACCAGAGAGAGAGAAGGAAAGTGAGAAAGCAAATCACCAGGTCCGGGACTCAAACCGTGGTCAGATATGTGGGAGTGTCCAGTGCCTTATCCACCACGCCACCAGCCGATTCCATTATATCTTTTTTAAATCTTTTTTTTTAATGCAGTTGGAGAAAAAAGTAGAAAAGGCAAAAACAATTCTTGATTGGATTAAAGGCACTTTTAAAAAACCCTTCTCTTAATTTTTATAAATAAGAAATAGTAAATAACATCAATATTTCTTTTCTGATTATTTAATACATAGCACAGAAGTTGATATAAAGGTACAGAAGTTTTGGGGACCAGCTGTTAGCGTAATGACTATGTCACTGGACTCCCACGTAGTCGACCGCGGTTCGCGTCCCGGACCCAGTGGCTTACCCTCATGCCGGGCGTGTGTGCGTGCGTGCCCAAGATCCTGAAAGGAGAATGGAGGAGAAGGGATTGTGGCATGGCCATCCCCCCTGGGGGGTGATTTCCTGCTTTCTGTCTCTCTGTCTCTCTGGCGAGCGTACGCGCCCTATAGCAAAAACCTCTCCAAAAAAAAAAAAAAAAGGAACAGAAGTTTTAATGAAAATGTAGAAGATAAAAACTGCTGACTATAGAGTCACATTAACCAAGATTGAATTTTAACTCTACTCATTTCTGGCTTTGTGAACAAATGACATGTCTCACTGTAACTTAATGTCCTTTTACAAATGAGGATCATAATAGTATCTAGCACATGGGGTTATTATAAGAGTTAATCCATGAGTACCTGACATGGTATGCATGTAATAAAAGCCAATTATTGTAAATATTAAATAGCTGTCTTAGTCGTAAAGGGTTAGCATTCAAGGAGTCCTAGGTAATGGTTTCATCCAGGCAAAGGTTGAGACTTAAATAAATATTAGCATATTTGACAAGGAAAAAATAGTTTGGGCTATAAAGATTATTTGAGTCATGCTGTGACAACTTCTGTTACTCATCCGCCCAACCTTCCATAAGATCTTTATGATAATCAGTCCTGGTGGTCACATGGCCCCAGTTCTGTCTCTGACCAGAATAAAAACTCCCTTCCCGCTTTATCCTACCTTGACATGGGAAAGCATAATGCTGATGAAAATGGTTTCCTGGTTCCTGCAGAAAAGCTTCAATCTTCCTTATCCATACTTCTATCCTTATCAGGACTGAAGACAGTTGAATTCTGGTGGGAAAGAGAGCTAGCTGACAAGATTTCTAATAGCTCACACTCTTAGGCAGCCCATGAGAGAATGGATTGGGTGGCTTTTGCCTAAGAACCTTGTCAAGAGGCATGTGGTTCACACAGTCAAGGTCATTGTTAAGTCACTGCTTGGGTGTTAACCTTACCACTGAACCCCAGCGCCTAGCCTACTGTACAGCCTGGAATAGATACTAGCAGAAATGGACTAAAATTAGTCTCTTTGAACGTCTTCCCCACTTTCCTGCTTAAACTGAAGACTTACTCTCCTATATTTCCTCACTATAGTATGTCTCTGACATAGAGTCCATTTTTTTTCTCACACCCCCCACAGGATATGGGGAAGACATCCCTCTTGCTCCCTTTGCTGCTTCCAAACCATTTCTCCTCTTTCAAAAACCCAGTTCCTTTGAGGTTTTTGTCAAATGGCTATAACACCCTGTATCAATCAGTGTCTCTAGATATAGATGGCATACTCATATTATTAATCTGAGGATGTTTTTTTCTTTTAAGTAATTATTTTATTTGCATTTATCTATTTATTTATTCATTCATTCATTCATTCATTCATTTAAATTTGACCAGAGTAAGGGAGACAGAGAGAGAGAGAGAGAGAGGGAAAGTGAGAAAGCAAGCTGCCAAGTCCAGGACTCAAACCACAGTCGGCTATGTGGGACTCCAGCACCCCAACCACCATGCCACCTGCTGGCACCCTGAGGATGATTTTTAAAGGTGACTAATACAAAGGTGTGAATGAGGTGGTGAAAGCACAAAGGATAGGCAGTAACTCAGGGCTAGTAACAATGGAGTTGGTACTGCTCCTAAGCCTGAAGGAACACAAGAAAAGTGTAGAAACTCAGAAGAAGAGACAGATAAAAGGCTATGAAAAGAGTAGAGACCATTAGTTCAAGGGTGTAGTCTTCCCTTTGTCAGATCTTCTGAAGATCTTTGTTGGTTAAACCCAACCAGAACCAAAGGGCAAGAAAACCTATTGATTTAGTCCATAGGTTTCGGCTAACATGGCACTTAGTGGCCTAGAGAAGCACAGAGACTAGAGAAACAAATGGAAGACATGCAGTAATACCCAATGCTCTTTCTGATTGTTATCTTCTTCTAATCTCTTAAGTCTTTTAAAACTTCAACTCCTGGGAACCAGCAGTTAGCGTAATGGCTATGTTGTTGGAATCCCACATAGTCGACCGCGGTTCGCGTCCTGGACCCGGTGGCTTAAAACTCACGCCAGGCGCGTGTGCGTGTGTGCCCAAGATCCTGAGAGGAGAATGGAGAAGGGATTGTGGTGTGACCATCCCCTCTGGGGGGTGATTTCTCGCTTTCTGTCTCTGTAATGTCTCTCTCTGTCTGTCTGGCGTGTGCACGCACCCTATAGTAAAAATCTCTCAAAAAAACAAAACAAAAACTTCAACTCCTAGCTCATTATCTTCCTTTCTACCCCTCAGTGACTTCAGCCTCCATGTAGTGGTCTCCTGTGATCTTTATCATTCATTCCCATAATCATACCCTAAATACTATCACCAGCAACAACACAATATTGACTTCAAGCATTCCATTCTCTGGCCATCACCTCTTATCTCTATAGCTCACTTATTCTAGTTCTTTCATTACAATTTTTCAACCTTCTTAAAGCCTCTAATCCACTGATCCTACCACTCTTCCACTGTTCATCCATCTCCTACCTTCACTCTCTTGCCTTTACTTTTCATTATGTCCACAGGAATTCCACAAACCCAACTTGAAAAGAATCTTCTTTTTGTTTTTACTTGTCAAAAATCTAACTCTTGGGCCACTTGGTGGCATGGCAGTTAGGCTGCTAGGCAAGTGTGTGTACACGCTCAACATCTGAAAGGAGAAATGGAGGCAAGGGAATTGCAGCATTTTCATTCCCACACCGGGCGTGCTTTCTCACTTCTCTCTCCATCTCTCTCTGGTGAGTACACACACCCTCTAAGTAATTAAAAACAAAAACTTAATCTAACTTTAGTTAAAGCCTTTTCCTGTGTGTGTGTGTGTGTGAGGAAGTGACACATAAAATTATGCTGACTGGTTTCTCTGTGTATTTGTTATGACAGGCTTCAAATGGGCATTTTAATCTGCTCAGAAATCCTGCACTGGTGCTGGCGAGTGTGCTGATTGTTCTTCAAGATGATTATTTCATACTTTCTCCCATACTCTATACTTCCAGTCTTCATACTCTTTTCTATTTTTAACCAATTCTACAGCCTTACACTCTTCTAGAAACTTTCCTGTATCTTCATCCTCTTACCTGCATCCATCCTGCTACCAGGGAATAAGGGTCACTCCTCCTATCAAAGTCCAACCTCTCCGTTCATGCTTTATATTCCAACTCCTTTCATTGTTTTTAGAAATGTATTCCTCTTTTCATTCTCCTTCCATCCTGTGCCAATTTTCACTACTGAACCTTTTTAACATCAACATTCTCCTTCCATCCTATATCATTGTCCTCTATTGGATCTTTTTAACATCAACCAAGCAACTCCCATTGTAAAAAAAAAGAAAAAAAAGGGTTTGCATGATTACAAAATCTCCCCTATCTCCCACTCAATTTATTCTATCCTTTTCAAAGAAAACAGCTTGAAATGATTGTCTACAGAGTCTGTCTGCTTTTCTTTTCTTTCCCTTTTTTTTAATTGTCAGAGAACTTGTGTACTTGCCAGAGAAAGATGGAGTGGAAAAAGCACCCTACAATTGTGCATACCACAATTCCATTTCTTCTATTTCTCCATCCTGCTGGGATCTGGAGCATACACACACATGCATACCCAGCACATTCTCAAGCTGTCAGACGGAGATTCAAACCACGTTAAGCCATGTGAAATCTGGCTTACTTAACTGCTGGGCTATGGGGCTGGCCCTGTCTGCTTTTATTTCCTATTCTCTCTTCTGTTCATATCCATCTGCCTTCTATCACTACCATGCCATACAATGCTGTGGTAAAGATTTCCAGTGACAAACTTGTTCCCTAGTCATCTGATTCCACTGGTCAGCAGCATATATGACATAGCTGACTTGCATGCTCATTCTTGAAACAGTTTTCTTTGTAAGTGTTTTTCTATTTTTTTATTTATTTTTTAGGGTTTTGCCATAGGGCGTGTACACTTCCCAGAGAGATAGAGAGAGGAAAAGTAAGAAATCATCCCCCAGAGAGATGGCCACACCACAATTCATTCTTCTCTAGAGATTTTGAGAATGCATATAGGTGCGCCAGTCCAGGACTTGAACCATCCTTGGCTATGTAGGAGTTCAGGCCCTTAACCACCATGCCACCTGCTGGCTCCACCTTCATTAGTTTTTATGGATATCATTCTTTCCTGATTTTCCTCTTATCTCCCTGACTTTCCCTTCTCCATCTTTTTCATTGTCCAGTCTCCTCTACTAGATGTTTACTTGTTAGTGACCCAGACTCTCAACTATCCTGGACTGTCCAACACAGTACTCATTAGCCATATGTCCATTTAAATTCAAAATAATTTAAATGAAATAAAGGTAAAATTCAGTTTCTCAATCATACTAGCCATCTTTCAAGTGTTCAGTAGGCATATGCAGACTGTAAATAACACAGATATAAACTATTTCTATCATTGCAGACAGTTCTATTGAGCAAGACTAATCCAAACTTCCTCCTTAGGTGCTCTCACCCAGCCCCATGCTTTAAATACAATGTGTATGTTAATGAACTCTAAACTTAGACCTCTAGATCTGACTTAAGCTTTAAGTCTGCACATAAAACTGCCTGCTTGACATAAACTCTTGACTGCTAAACTAGCTACTTAAAATAAACTCCAAAACAGAATATTTCATTTTCATCTTCTCCAATTCATCTGTTCTCAGCAAATGATACCATCTAACCAGTTTTGAAGACAAAATCATCTTGATTCCTCTTCTTTCTTCACTCCCAATCCATCAACAACTTTTATTGAATCTAACCATAAAAAGTGTCTCAAATCTGCCTTCTTGTACTTCCACTGTCACCTCACTGGTCTAAGGTTCTGGTCTGGGCTACTTATGTCCTACTTATTTGACAACCTTTGCTCCTAAAACTGTGTCTGCTACATAGCATATACTCATTATTGTATGGAAAAAAATAACAATTACAATCCTATGGAGTAGTGCAAAATAATCTGAACTTGTAAAAACACTTTTAAAATATGCATGAATAATAGATATTTGTCATAGAAATGTTAGAAAATAGATTTTAAAATATAATAAAAATCACATTCTAGGGCAGAATTTACTTAAGATTGGCTATGGGCTGCATGTAATTGTTTATTTTGTCAGCTATTCATATCTTTTTCATGCTTTTCATAGCAAGATAGCTTACCTCTAGGAATCTGTTATCTGCATTGTCAGTATAACTCATGGTCCCAAGAGAAATTAAAAAATAATAATAATAATTGGGCCCAGCAGATGACATAATGGTAATGTTGCTGGACTCCCACATAGCTGATCACGGTTCAAGTCCTGGATCCAGTGACTTACAACTCATGCCGGGCATATATGTATGTGTGCCCACAATCCCAAGAGGAGAATGGAAGAGAAGGGATTGTAGGATGACCATCCTCCCTGGGGAGTGATTTCTTGCTTTCTGTCTCTATCTCTCTCTGTCTCTCTGGTGAGTGCACACCCTATGGTAAAACTTCTGACCAAAAAATTTGTTTATTTTTGTTATTATTTTTGATTTGCTATAGGGCATGTATGCTCACCAGAGAGAGACAAAGAGACTGAGAGAGAGAGAAAGAAGGTGAGAAAGCAACCCACCAGGCCCAGGGATTTGAACTGTGGTCAGTCATGTGGGAGTCCCACATCTTAACCACTATGCCACCTACTGGCCCCCCCCAAAGAAATATCAATAGCTGCTGCTTCTCACTTGGCCTTAACTTTTCTGATTAATAAATTTTTTAAAGATTTTATTTAACTTTATTGATTTATTTTAATTTGACTAGACAGGGACACAGAGAGAGAGAGAAAGTGAGAAAGCAAGCCACCAGTTCCAAGACTACAACTGTGGTTGGCCATGTGGGTATCCAGCACCCTTAACCACCATGCCAGCTGCCAACCCCTGATTAATACAATTT